GCTACGGATGGGAAGCCACGCCCACTCGAAAAGGACCGCGGGAAAAGTGAGTCTTGGGCTCAATTGCAGCCAGACCTCCATATCCGCGGCGTGTCTAAATATTCCTAGATTTTCCTGCTTAAAAAAGTCAAATATATATTTCAAAATATATATTTATTTTATATATTATATATTTTATATATTATACATTGATATATTTCAAAATATATATTTAACTGTATATATTTTAAAATAAATATAAATTATCAAAAATATTTAAATTAAAATTATATATATATTAAAATAAATGAATAAATATTTTTTGTTTCTCCCTGCTAAAATATATATTTAAAATATATTTCAATCAATCAATCAATAATACATTTTAATATATCAATTATAAATTATGATTAAAATATTAATTATATAAAAATTAATTGATATATTAATATATGTATTAATGTATTAATTATGTATAATTATATGTAGATATAGGTATATTTATATATAATTAATATATTAATTATAAATTATATAATATCTAGGGGTTTTCTTGCTTAAAAACATATGTTTCAAAATATGTATATTTAAATATATATTTTAAAATAAATATATATTATCAAAAATATTTAAAAATATTTTTGATAATATATATTTGTTTTAAAATATTTTAAAAATTTTATATATATATATTTAAATAAATAACATAACGCAGATTCGCAGCTTGGGTGTGACCCTGGACTCATCGCTGAGCCTGGAAGCCCAAGTTTCGGCGGTGACCAGGGGAGCATTTGCACAGCTAAAGCTTGTGCGCCAGCTGCGCCCGTACCTTGGGAAGTCTGACTTGGCCACGGTAGTCCACGCTCTCGGAGCGCAGGGAGCATACAACCCCCCTGTTGCGCCAACTCCATTATAAAAATCAAATACAACAAAAAATCCCGTTTAGACTAAGGACCTGACTATATACTGACTACTGCAAAAGGATAAGACTGGACTTGCTTACTTACTTACTCTGCAAGCGCTCTCTATGTGGGGTTGCCTTTGAAGACCAGCTCGAAAGCTGCTAGAGCTCGAAAACACTAACAAAACAACAAGCTCTTCGGAAGCTTCAACTAGAGTCCATGAGTCGGTAGCCATGATTCTAACAGGAGTGGAACGCAGGGAGCATACAACCCCCCTGTTGCGCCACCTCCACTGGCTACCGATTTGCTACCGGGCTCAATTCAAAGTGCTGCGTTGGCCTTTAAAGCCCTAAACGGTTCCGGCCCAAGCTACCTATCCGACCGCATCTCTGCCTATGAACCCACCAGTACTTTGAGATCTTCCGGGGAGGCCCTGCTCTCGATCCCGCCTGCTTCTCAAGCACGGCTGGCGGGGACGAGAGATAGGGCCTTCTCGGTGGTGGCTCCTCGGCTGTGGAACGCCCTTCCTACGGACATTAGACTAGCACCATCTCTAATGGTATTCCGCAATAGTAAAGACCTGGCTGTTTGAGCAGGCGTTCGAATAATTAGTGCAATGATTGGTTAATGAACACTGGAATGGAACAATGGATGACGAATCTGGAACATGTTTTTGATGACGAGACGACAGTGAATGGGTATTGTAGTAACTGTTTATTAATTGTGTAATGTGTTAGGTTGTTAACTGTTTCTATACTGTAGCACTGAATTTTTGCTGTTCGTATGTGTTGTGAACCGCTGTGAGTCGCCTTCGGGCTGAGAACAGCGGTATAGAAGTAAGGTAAATAATAATAAATAAATAAATAAGTTATTATATAATATATATTAAAGGTAAAGGTAGTCCCCTGACATTAAGTCCAGTCATGTCTGACTCTGGGGTGTGGTGCTCATCTCCATTTCTAAGCCGAAGAGCCAGCGTTGTCCGTAGACACCTCCAAGGTCATGTGGCCAGCATGACTGCATGGAGCGCCGTTACCTTCCCGCCGGAGCGGTACCTATTGATCTACTCACATTTGCATGTTTTCGAACTGCTAGGTTGGCAGAAGCTAGGGCTGACAGCGGAAGCTCACGCCGCTCCCCGGAATCGAACCTGCGACCTTTCGATCCACAAGCTCAGCAGCTCAGTGCTTTAACCCACTTTGCCACCGGGGGCTCCCCGGACACATATAGTTTTCTCTTAATCTTCCCGGTTGTGCCATCATAGTATGTGTATATATCTTGCAAGCCGCTCTGAGTCCCCTTCGGGATGCGGGAATGGGGCATGGAGGCACTGTTCTATGGTGGCTCCAGTCCTTCCTGGACAGTCTTTCCCAGAAGGTGTTGTTGGGGGACACCTGCTTGGCCATGCAGCCTTTGTCCTGTAGGGTTCTGCAGGGATCAATATTGCCCCCCCCCATGTTTTTTAACATCTACATGAAGCTGCTGAGAGAGATCATCCAGAATTTTGGAGTTCGATGCTATCTGTATGCAGATGATGTTCAACTCTATCACTTCTTTTCCCACCTGCTACTAGGGAGGCTGTCCAAGTCCTGAACCGGTGCTTGACCGCTGTAACGGACTGGATGAGGGCAAACAGATTGAAACTAAATCCAGGCAAGACAGAGGTACTCCTGGTCAGTCGAAAGGCCGAACAGGGCATAGGGTTACAGCCTGTGCTTGAAGGGGTTACATTCCCCCTGAAGGTGCAGGTTCGCAGCTTGGATGTGATCCTGGACTCATCGCTGAGCCTGGAAACTCAGGTTTCGGAGGTGACCTGGGGAGCATTTGCACAGTTAAAACTTGTGCGCCAGCTGCGCCCATACCTTGGGAAGTCGGATCTGGCCACAGTGGTCCACGCTCTTGTTACATCCCGTTTAGATTACTGCAACGCTCTCTACGTGGGGTTGCCTATGAAGACTGCCCGGAAGCTCCAACTAGTCCAACGTGCGGCAGCCAGAAGCTAACACGAGCAGGGTACAGGGAGCATACTACTCCTCTGTTGTGCCAGCTCCACTGGCTGCCAATTAGCATCTGAGCACAATTCAAAGTGCTGGTGTTAACCTGTTGTTGTTCATTCGTTCAGTCGTCTCCGACTCTTCGTGACCTCATGGACCAGCCCACGCCAGAGCTCCCTGTCGGCCGTTACCACCCCCAGCTCCCTCAAGGTCAGTCCAGTCACTTCAAGGATGCCATCCATCCATCTTTTGCCCTTGGTCGGCCCCTCTTCCTTTTGCCTTCCACTTTCCCCAGCATAATTGTCTTCTCTAGGCTTTCCTGTCTCCTCATGATGTGGCCAAAGGACTTCAGCTTTGTCTCTAGTCTCCTTCCCTCCAATGAGCAGTCGGGCTTTATTTCCTGGAGGATGGACTGGTTGGATCTTCTCGCAGTCCAAGGCACTCTCAGCACTTTCCTCCAACACCACAGCTCA